ATTATTTTGGATGGTTGAAAGGAGTTGGGGAGGGTTGGAAAGGAGGATGTTACTAAACTTCTGACAGCCATATACATAAAAACCATGTGTATATATATTATGATGGGGCAAGGCCAGATGGCTATAGAAAAGTAGTGGGAGATAGATATATTAGCTCCAGGCTAAACAAATCCCTGGTACCAGGTTAAGTGAAATGGAAGCTGCTCCAGGTCAATTAAGACACCTGGGGCCAATTAAGAACTTTCCAGAAGGCTAGGTTGATTGGGACACCTGAAGCCAATCAGAGGCTGGCTGAAACTAGTTAAAAGCCTCCCAGTTAGTCAGGTGGGTGTGCATGTCAGGAGCTGTGGGAGGAAGTTGTGCTGTTGGAGAGATTGAGTAGTACACACCATATCAGGCACAAGGAAGGCGGCCCTGAGGTAAGGGTGAAGTGGAGCTTGAGGAAGTGAGGGCTGCTGTGGAGGAAGTAGCCCAGGGAATTGTACATGTCATGTTTCTAAAAAGTCAGCTACCATAGCTGGTACTATTAGGGTCCCTGGGCTGGAGCCCGGAGTAGAGGGTGGGTCCAGGCTCCCCCACCACCACCTTTGGCCCCTGATTAATCACTGAGACTGGGAGACAACAGAGACTATGCAAGGAAGGATAACTTCTCCTCACCTCCCTTGCTGGCTTATGATGAAAATGGCTCAGTAGACTGTGACCCTTGTCTCTAGAGAGAGAAGGGTTATGTGGAGGGTCACAGTGAGCCTCTAAGGCTAGCGAAATCCGCCAGGAAACGCGGGACCCACGGAGGCAAGGACAGAGCTTTGTCACAACATGAAAAATATATATACCACTTATATAAATACATGTTAACAGTTTAATCAATTTAAAACTTACATATTTCCATAATACAGTGAAATCTGGAATTGTAATTTGCCAAAGACTGTATCTTAAATGCATAACACTAGAAACTATAGAATATGTGTGTTGCTTTCCCTTTGCCTGAACGTGCTTTGTTACTATGGCAGTGAGATGCAAAGGCTCAACCTAAGTATTTTTGAAAAAAACTTATTGTTTTCAGTAAAATTCTTTATCAGAAGTATTTATATGAAATCTTCCCAATTAAACTCCAGGTGAATATTTTTGGAGTGGCAGGTTAATGAAATGAGTAGAGGCTAAACTATTTCCTACTTTTAGGTGAGGGAAAGTTGCAAGATGTTGTCATATTCCAGGGGAGTTTTTCTTTGCCTATCTTGTGGACAGATAAAATATATTTTTAATATATTTACTAACATTAGTAAACATATAAGTTTGGAGAGAGTAAATTTCATTTAAAGGAGCAGCAGTCTGAATTTAAGGAATTATGATCATCTTTCTTGGGACCCTCTAGCTAGTATTTTTTAATTGAAACAAATTTTAAAACGGGAATTATTCTACAGCTAATAGGTATTGATATTTTGTTAGAAGCAGCCTATGTGCTCAAACTCTGCTGGTTACGTGTTAAATTATAAAGAGGGTTTTTTGTAAGATTTCTAAATCTGTATGAGTTTTTGGTTTAAATACCTAAATCGGTTTTTCTGCTAATAAAAACTAATTGTTCTGAATCCTGTAGAATTAATTTTGCCAGAGTTTGAAGGTATCTGACTTTCATATTTTGAGACAGTGAAATTTATAGCTGGTATATCCATGTTTATAAAATGTGAAATAGAGAAATGTATCACTCAAACCTCACTAAAGAGGTAGTGGCAATATAAATTACATTGCAGGTCTTAATTAGTTGTCATTTGCAATTTTTCTATTATCCAGTTTAAAAGTATGTATTTAATAATTTTAAGGTTACTTAAACAGAATTAACCAAATAAATCTGTTTTTTAATCAGGATGCTTTTGTAATCATAGCACATTATCATAGTATGCTTTGCTTAATTTCCTTGAAGAAATAATAATCTATAATTCCTAATAGTCAGAAGTACTTTGTTTTCCTGAAGGTAGTAAACAAGAGTTCTTTGAAGAATAGTTGCTCAATAATACTTAAGAATTCTTAGTGAAAGTATCAATTCTGTAGGAAACATTGTAACTTAATTTTCATTAAAAAACCTCTTTTGTGATGTCTTTCCCCCTTCCTCTCTCCAATTTAATTTCCTCATGGGCATATGGACGTGAAATTTCTCCTATGGTCTCTAGCCAAAAGACAGTTTTATGGCAAACTGATGCTATTTTGAAAAGGTATTTTGGAGATACGAGATTTTATTAAAAAAAAAGTTATGCTTTTCCCATTTGAAACCTCTTTTTTTTCAAAGTAGTATTTAAAAAGCTAATCTAAAGAAAAAAAATTATTTAAAATATTTTTTTTCTCACCAAGCATCAATAGGAACTACTGCATATTGAAAACAGCTATAAAGGTAGGCAGAAGCATCTAGCATTAGAAGCTAAATTTCTTAGAAGCTCCATCAGGTCTTGGCTGATATTTATAGCTTGACTGGTCAAGTCAATGGAGCTTGAAAGGGCCAAATGCCATATAGCTCTGGTTCAAGGGATTTGGAGGGACTGCTGACACTCCTGGTGGAGCTTGTAAAGTCATCACTGTGTCTGCTCGGAAGAACTCTCATGTTTTCCTGATTAATTTAGGAATTACAACATCAAATAGCTGCTTATTCATCATTTCTGGACAGAACTTTTTATGCAAGAATAAACCTGCAGAGAATCGTTCAGAAAACATGTATGCACTACAATATGAACTACCTTGCATCACTAATTTATAATATAAAATAGAAACAACATTTAGTTGCGTATTGACAAAATATTTTATATATTGCCTTCATAATAATGTATCCACTAAAAAAGTCTTAAGTACCTTCACCAGCAGAGATCTTTAAACTAGAGTTCTCTTTCAAGATAAATATATTATAAACAAAAAGATCCTCATAAGAGCATGGTTAGTCTCTAAGGTGCCACAAGTACTCCTTTTCTTTTTAGTTGAACAAAAACACTTAATTCTAAATCTTCTGAGATCCAAATATTTAAAGTTCAATGGTAAATTCAGTTCTGACCTGATTAACCTACATATCTACTTTACGCCATGTACATTTCCCTGTCTCTTCGCTTGCTGTGACTAATCATCAACTTTCACATATTGGCTACAGACCCAATTCCTTTTGGACTTACAGGCCATCAAGAGCCAGAGATATCAATTTCTTCTCACATCTTTGTCTCCACAGAGATTAGAGGTAACATCTTCCCATTGCTCATCTTACTGCTGTGATGTAAAGATCATGATGCCATTCTTGTACCTCAGCCTTTAGATAAAGTCCTGAGGAGAAAAAACACCCCTTTTACCATTCTATAAATTGGATAACTTACATATCCTTATCTACCTTCTTTATACAGACTAGAAATCTCACATGCACCTGATACGGTTCAGAGATTTTTTTTTCTCTCCATATACGTGCCAGATATACACATCTTTACTCCATTCGCTCTTCATATACTTGGTGCAAATGTGAGAATACTACATCTGTTGGAACAGGTTTGGGACCTTGCTTCTTCCCCATGGATGGCAGCATATGTGTAGAATGTTAGATTTTCATTTCTTTCAAACATCAGTGATATCAAAAGTTTCTGAAAGTTGTAGCTATACATATCCCAGTTAGGTTGACAATGAGCAGGAATACAAGTTGAATTAATTTTGTTTTGGAACGTTAGTTTGAAATTAACTGTCAGATAGAACACTAAATATTAATTCAGAAAATACTATCTTCTAGTTGTTTAACATGTATACATTTCCAGTTTTAACTCTCAAAGTATTTTTTTCTCTAGGAATTCCCTGTGGTCTTCAGGTCTACTGAAGAGATTTTATTTAAATGTTCAGTTATTGTGAAATTAGCTCGTTTCTTTGTGTTTTTAATGTCTAGTCAGAAACTTGACGAAATACTGTACAGAGTTGAAATAATCCAGTTCATTTATAGGACAACATTTGAAAATATCTTGATGTAGAGGAGAGTGTTTTTATACAATAATTAATCTATTGTAGATGAAAAAATGCTGTTCAGATTTTCCTTTTATCCAAAAAACTATTGAAAGAATATATATCTTGCCCTTCACTCCTAGAATATTAAAGATGATACATCTGCACTTGAAAGTAAATTGATGGTATATTTGCAGTTAAATGCGGGGACATGTCTGTATTTTGTTAGGTGTGAAACACATCATATTTAGTGGCATTCTATATTAAGAGTGTGTAACTAGTTGATCGTCAAAGGGAGCCACTTTCATAATGCTACAGAAAAATTATTCTCTGGGGTCATGTCCTAAACTGCACAGTTACAATGGTTGTACCTCAGAGAAGTGCTGTTGGGGATCTTGCAGGACAGGAAATGATGTAAATGAGAATGAAGTTGAACTCCTGGGAATATCTTCTGAGTAGATAAGAAACACACTTCTTAAAAAGAAAAAAAGATCTAATAAAAACTTCATGCACAAGAAGAAAAATTCCCTCCTTCCCGCTCTCCCTTCCCCAAGGTGGCTGTGCTGGGCTGTGAGCATCAGTACCCCTTCTGTCTCCAGCTTGAGTCGCTTTGGGGAAGGAAGGAAATGGTAGGCTTTCACTCCCTAGGACAACTCTGCAAATCTTGCATTTGGAAGTGTGGGAAGGGTTTTTATCTGAGTTTAACCATTTAGTATAAAAAGCAGTCTACATTGAAAATGGTAGCAGCAACACAAAGCCTTGTGCTGTCACTGAATATGTTAATGGAGTGAGGGGCAGGAAAAGGATTAGTATCCCTATGCAGGTTTGGTGGTTTTAGGTCGACCTCTGTCCTTGTTGAGAAGACCCTAATAATCCACAATAAATAATGTTTGAAGAAAAACAGCCATTCTTTCTATAGGCTAACAGTTTCACAGACTAATGTGGCTTCATATTGTGTATCAATACATCGTTCCCAAAAGAAATGTGAAGATACTTGAGTTAGACACAGTAATTTTTTGTAAATTCCTTGCATCTTTGTATGTTCCCCCCATCAGCAAAGCAAAAACTAGAGGACAGACTGGCAGCTGCAGCAAGAGAGAAGCTAGCACAGGCCTCCAAGGAATCAAAAGAAAAGCAGCTTCAAGCGGAACGCAAACGGAAAGCTGCATTGTTCTTGCAGACCCTGAAGAATCCTCTGGCAGAAGCAGAAGTTGAGAAAATTGAGGAGAATTCCTTTAATATGGAGGTAAATTAAGAGTAAATTCCATGTATCGTAGTAGTTAATCGAGAGAACCTATGCACAGAAATTCTTTGACTACGTTATTTTTTAATTAAGCTGACTTAGAAGTTACGAGCTCTTCCTGGATAACAGGCACCTCAGTTTAGATGTCTGTTAGTCTTTTCAGATGTCTTGTATATTTTTTAGATCAACAGAAATTTATTGATCACAATTGGTAGATATTGGTAATAATATTTCTCAGATTTGTCAGTTTGTATGTTCTATACAATCAAATAAAAAAAAAAGAAAGCATGGTGTGATTTAAATCTAACGCTGCATTGAAAATCCATGGATCAGTATCCGACCCACTCAAGATTGAAGTACAATATTATAGTATTTTTCATTTTCACTTTATTGCTTATTAATCTATATTTGGGTTTTAGAAGAGGCATTTTGAGGTTTCACCTGTGGTTTGCATATATGTGGTTTATTTAGAGAACTGAACTGAACTGAAAATTGAGTTAAATTTAGTGTAAAACTACGCTGCTGGAAATTCTAATACAAGACCCAAACAAGGTGTGTGCACAATAAGCCACGGGCAATTGGACACTGAGTTATAGTGAAAGGCTGACAGTGAGAGAACCCAGGGGTCTAATCATGCTGTCAGTTGCGTATCGGTTGACTTCAGTGGAAGTTGCACAAGCACAACTAATGGGATCACATGGTCCCTTGTGTTTTATTTTTGCTTTTTCTCTTTTCCACTGAGTCTTTATATAGTGTAAGGAACCTGTATTTTTGGTACTGGAGGAACTTTAAAGCAGCTACATATCTGTAACAAGTTGGTTTGGAGTATCAGGTTGCACATTTCTTATAATGCTCAGTCTTTGATCGGTGGGGATGATTACCTCTTACTGCCTGTCTAGAATGCCAGCAAGAAGATTATGGTTGGTCTACGCTGAAAAGTTAATCAGCATAGCTACATCTCATGGGTGTGAAAAAGAGACATAGTTAAGCCGACCTAACCCCTGGGATAGACACTTGGTCAACAGAAGAATTCTTTGGTCAACCTTGCTGTTGCCTCTCATGGAGGTGGATTACATACAGCAACTGGAGAATCCCTCCCATTGCTGTGGTGTCTACACTGAAGTGCTACAGCATAGTAGCTGTAGATATTCCATAGTAGTGTTTTAAATGTAGACATAGCCTTAGACATGTGGCCCGTGAGAGGCTGCTTTCCCGCCTCTCTCTCGTACCACTAAAATACTTGTCTGCTGATATGGTTGTCAACCTCACTAGATCTAATACAAGGCAAGAATCAGTTGGGGAGTTTTCAAAAATCTTTGTTTGAGTGAGTCAGTACAGTATTGTTCTCATACAGGTAAAGGCTGAAAGTTGCTTGAATGTTGATAATTTAAGATCTGATTCTGGGGAATAATAGAACTAGCAGTAGTGTCCCCTCACTGCCCTAAATGCCTCTCTGGATCATTGTCACCAAAGAAATTAAGGGCAATTGTCTTGTAAGTGTGAGCAGGTTACTGGAATTAACTATATCTGGATTAAAGATTACTGAATCATTAACCAGTTTTTTTTTCAGCAGACAGTAGAACGGCCAACTAATTTATCACTAGTATAAAACTATTACACGTTAGTCTACTGATAACAGGTGAGCATAACAGTATCTTACTGGCTTCTTAAAGCCTGTAGCTTTAAGAATTATATAAATCCTTTTTTATAAGATTTGCATTTTAAGTAGCCAAGCTTTTAAAGAAGCATCATAGATCAAAAGAAGTTAAATGTTAACACGTTCTAAAAGTATATTTGTTTTTAATTATCAGGAGACTAGCCGATTGATTTCCCTTTTTTTTAAGGAAATGGACTAAATTAAATAACAGGAATCTATCTCATTTTACAGAATCTTGCATTTTTATTACAGCCATGTAACTGTCTTTTGAGTGAAAATGTATTTGCTCTGTCACTGCATGGTATAATTATCATAGACAACAGTAGTCATCAATCTTTGGTTCATAATTAAATCATGAAATACTGATCACAATGTATGTTACATCTTATAACATAAATGGCAGCTAAAATTTTACCAGGCTAACTGTAGCTTTCTTTTTACTCTAGGAGTATCTTTAATTTAATTTTTAATTGATTTTCATTTCTACGCAATAATAAAGGCTTAAAGTACATGTATAGTCCAAATAAAAAAGAATAACAGGACTGAAAAAATGCCATGATGGCTAAACAGAGTAAAAGAGGCAGTTAGAGACAAAAAACATGTATTTTAAAAATTGGAAGTCAAATCCAACTGAGTAAAATAGAAGGGAACATAACGTTTGGCAAGTCAAGTGTAGGAGTATATTTAGACAGGCTAAAAAATAACTTGAAGAGCAATTAGCAAAAGAGACACAAACTAACAGCAACATTTTTTTTTAAGTACATCAGAAGTAGGAAGCCTGCCAAACCATCAGTGATGGCACTGGATAATCGAGAAGCTAAAGGAGTACTCAGGGAAGACCATTCCATTGTAGAGAAGCTAAATGAATATTTTGCATCGGTCTTCGTTGCAGGGGATGTGAGGGAGATTCCCACACCTGAGCCATTCTTTTTTGGTGCCAAAGCTGAGGAACTGTCCCAGATTGAGGTGTCAATAGAGGTGGTTTTGGAACAAATCAACAGTAATAAGTGACCAGGACCATATGGTATTCACCTAAGAGTTCTGAAGGAGCTCAGATATGAAAGTGCAGAACTAACAACTGGTATGAAACCTATTGCTTAAATCAGCCTCTCCACCAGATAACTGGTGGATAGCTAAAGTAATGCTGATTTTTTCAAAAAAGACTCCAGAGGTGATCCTGGCAATTACAGGCCAGTAGGCTTAACATCACTACCGGGCAAACTGGTTGAAACTGTAGTAAAGAGCAGAATTATCAGACACATAGATGAACATGACATGTTGTGAAAGAGTCAGCATGGCTTTTGTAAAGAAAAATCATGCCTCACCAATCTATTAGAATTCTTTGGGGGCTGGTCAACAAACATGTGGACAAAGGTGAGCCAGTGAACATAGTGTACTTGGAGTTTCAGAAAGGCTTTGACAAGGTCCTTCACCAAAGGCTGTTGAGCAAAGTAGGCAAGGATCAGTAACTGCTTAAAAGATAGGAAACAAAGGGCAAGAGTAAATGGTCAGTTTTCACAGTAGGGTCCCCAAGGATCTGTCCTGGGACCAGTGCTGTTCAACAGTCATAAATAATCTGGAAATGGTAGTGAACAGTTAGGTGCAAAATTTGCAGTCAATACAAAATTACTCAAAATAGTTAAGTCCAAAGATGTCCGCAAAGAGTTACAAAATTGGGTGACTGGGCAACAAAATGGCTGATGAAATTCAGTGTTGAAAAATACAAAGTAATGCACATTTGCAAAAATAATCCCAGTTAAACATACAAAATGTTGAGGTCTAAATTAGCTGTTACCTCTCAAGAAAGAGATCGTAGAGTCATTGTGGATAGTTCTCTGAAAACATCTGTTCAATGTGCAGCAGCCATCAAGAAAGCTAACATAATGTTAGGAACCATTAGGGAAGGGATAGGTAATAAAACAGAATATCATATTGCCTCACTCACCTTGTCGCTCTAATATCCTGGGACCGACCCGGCTACAACAACACTGCTTTGCTTTAGTTCCTGACATAGGCAACAATCCTCTAGTGTCTAGATATAGACCTATCTACCTTGTTGATGAACTGTGATTGAAAGTGAAAGCTAAAGCCTTAGGGGAAAAGCTGGAGAAGTACATAAGGATGACCATACTGGGTCAGACCTATGGTTCGTCTAGCCCAGTGTCCTGTCTTCCGACAGTGGCTAGTGCCAGATGCTTCAGAGGGAATAAACAGACAATTTATCAAGTTATCCATCCCTGTTGTCTACTCCCAGCTTCTGGCAGTCAGAGATTTAGGCACTCCCAGACCATGGAGTTGTGTCCCTGATCATGCTGGCTGACTATGTAGATAGATTCAAAGAATGAGCAAACCCGTTTTACCTCTATCAAATGGTTTTTGAAGTAATGCTAGTGCTGCATTTTATTTTATACCTTCAAAATTGATTCCTCTAGTACCACATGTGTAGGATGTGTGACGCTATCGAATCTAACTGATGTTTTTAAGCCTTTTTGCATTAAACTGTACCTTGAAAATAGTCAAATTGGTTTCTGCTGTAGTTGCATTTTTACTCCTGTTTGTATGGTTCTCTTGTAGCCTCTAACAGCTATAAAAATAAGAGAAACAGAAAACTGAACCTTACAGGTGGAATGCAAAGCAGTGTAATTTTTTTAAAAAGTTTTATCTTGACTTATGACTACAATATACACGCACATCTCTTGAGGCAATTAACACCAGAAACAATTTAGGACTTTGTGAGTAGAGACCCAGTACCAAAAGTTACCGAGAGCTCTGAGTGACGCTGGTAGCCAGTGGGAATAAAGGGTTCTATAGCAAAAGCAATATCTCTTTTGGTCTTTCATTGTCTTAGGCTTGAAGATCTGTTCTTTGTTCTTTTCTTTTAGATGTTTGTTGTTTTTGTGCTGTGTATGACAATATTTTTAACTCTATGGAGGGTAACATGTTAACAATTGAAATGAAAATTCATAATGCAGTCTAAAAGTAGAAAGCTATTCAAAATTTGTCAAGCCTAAGAGGGAGATCTAAATCAATGTCTTGCACACATTTTTCATATTTACTAATATAGTCAGGAGTATGACAATTAAATAATATACAGTTGGGGGTTGCTTGGATTTTTGTATGCTGCTATTCATTTCAGTTTTTTATTAAATGGATAATTTAAAAAACATAAATTAGATGTTGTCACCTGCTTTGGTTGTGGAATGGACTTTAGTGTCATAATTGATCACATAATATCCATCGCCTCAGGTAAAATGTGAGTCTTTTCAGGGTCTTCTGTTTCACCTTGTAACTAATGCATTTTTCAAAACATTCTTCTTTAAGCACTGATTCCATACTGTGGAAGTCCATTAAAGTTTTGCCATACAAGCAGTATCAGGGACTTAATCCTCAGCCATTCTTTTAAAAAAAAAAAAAAAATGAAAAGCATAAAATATATTTACTTACTTAGTGACAGGTTTCTGTGGAGAAAAAATGTAAATAAAATCTACTAATTAACATTTTGAGTCGTGGTCTTTTGGCCCTAGTAATAGTTCAAAAGCTTCACAATGTACCCAGATGTTAAACGTTTTTTGGTAGCCTTCTCTTCAGTTCCAAAACCTTTCTCTGTTCCTTCTGCAATGACATGTCTCCTCTGTGATTCCATCAACTGTAGAGCTGTAAGAAAGTCACACACAGCAGTTTTGTTGTGGTAACCACATGACGGAGGAGAGGCCGCGCCAAATTTGAGTAAGTGGCATTCTGACCTGGCACATGAGGTGAGATGCTGTTTCAAGCCAGGTGGTTCTCCTTATTGGTGGGGAGCAGAGGCACACAGAGCCAACTGTGGAGAGTCTGGTCCTTGCCACTGGCAGTAGCATCCAAGGGATGACCATGCTGAAATGAGCCGCCATTAGGGAGCAGAGGCGCCGGGGAGGCACTGTGGGGGGAGAACCTGAGCTGTCACTGTGGTAGCAGTGCCCGGTCCGTGTGCCGCTGCCCATTCTGGGCTGTGATAGCAACTCTTTTCTGGGGACCCTAGTGGTGGGGAGTAGGACTGGATGTGGGGCAGTTTTGTGGTTTTGGTGTGACTGTATCAAAACCACAACTTTTGTATAGCCTTGATTATCTGCACCTTGGGAAAACGTTTGACTGTTTTTTACGAAGAGCTCTCATCTAGTCTGCTAGATGAGGCTCCCATGTGGATTCATTGGTTTTATCCTAGCCCTTCTTGGAATTTAGCTGTAAAACATCAGAAGCTACTGTTCAAAATGAGGGTCAGTCTTTCTATTCCTTTCATAAATCCTGTAACTTAACTGCGTTGTCTCTGATTCCTGTTTTTGACACCCTTCTGCCCTTTGTGATTTCCAATATGTCATTCCAGTTGTGGTCATATACTTATGACCAGTATTTTGTCCCTTCATTTCAAAGTTAATTTGTCTCATAGTCTGTCCTTCTGAGAAGATCCCACATGTTTGTTCTCACTGTAAGAAATGGCTGTAATTTGGGGCCTTATGGCAAAAAAATTGCTTGACAGTTTTGCTGAACAGTCAGTACTGAAGTCAAGTGTGTGCTCTTTCTCAAGCTGCTGTGTTTTTTGGATTTTTTGTGCTAGAATGTCTTTCAGATTTTGTTTTCATGGATTTCAGATTTTTTTTCCCACATGTTTGGCTACTGGCTTGTATTTATACAATAATTCAATGGTGAGGAAACATGAAATTAGGTAAATTATACTTTAAAAAACAGAAGCACTCATTCATCAGTAGTATTTTTTGTCTTTATATATAGTTAAAACAGCACTTCAGTGAAACCTCACTCATTTTGCTAGAGGATGTCAAAATACAAACACATACAATTACATATACAAAATACACAAAACTTTGCCTTGATAAAGTTTCCCCCCGAAAACCCATCATGATAGTTTTCTTCAGGTGTTTTACTTTTGTTTATTGGATGGAGATGAAACTTCAGATAATGCCATATTATGGAATTTATTGACGACAAAAGGTTCTCTTTAAAAAACACCATAAAACGTACTTGCTACAAGATAGCTCTGTTGAACATGACGATACTCATCTCCACCCTACGAAGATCTAAATTTAGACGGTGCATAGTGTACTGTGCAGTGAAACCTGTTTTAAGGCTCTAATGAAACCAGTGAAAGTTGTCAGCTGCATAGTGATCATCATATCATATAATTATTGAATTTAGGAATACTTTAAAGTGGTCTCTACAAATATTTACTGGAGGGGAAATTTACTACAACTACTGTTGTACACACTGTAGATCTTTGCTCTTTAATGAAATAAACAGGACGGTTAAACTCAGTTGATGCATCTTTATGTACAAGATATAGAATTTATAATTCCAAACTTTTTACTGTTAATGGCTTTGGACCAGGATATTGTAACCAGGGAATGTGCCAATATAATGTTAGTCACTTTTCATATCTCCATTTTAATAACCTCAACCCACAGCCACATTTGAATCTCTGTACAGCACTTTGGTCTACTCTCTGGATTATTTTGAATTTAGCAGTTTCATTTACACTTCCAATGAAAGGTTGACTTCAGACCATTAATCCTGCATATGATGTACTGTGCAGACCTAAGGTGTGCAGTAAGTAATACATTCATTTTCCCACCTGCCTCTGACAGCTAAAATCTTGTTACATAGATTTTTAGAGCAGTGTTGTGTTTACACCTCTGAATTGTGGTAGCTGCATGAAAAAATTAAGTGATCCAAAGAGATGTCTGAGTTGCACTGATGGAAAATGTTTGATGCTTATGACAGCATTTCTTTATGAGTTGGATGTTTCGATACTGTAGTTAATAAGTGTATTGTTTGATTTTTCTGTTCCAGCTGCGGTGCTTGTTTATATATTTTAAAATTTGTGTATAATTTAAGGCAAAGGCATGTCAAGTTGCCTAGTTGTATAATCCTACTCATCTGCTGTGTAGAATATCATCTACAGAGTAGTGAGAGGCCAGCTAATTGGTCCTATTTTCTCTGGAAATATTTTGTTTTTTAAATATCCAAATTATGATCTGTGTTGCCTTGAAATGTAGCAAGTGTTAACCCTTTTTGTTCTTATTTTGCTGTTGTAGAGAGTTGATAAATTGTGGGTTTATTGCTGATCAACAAAAATTGGTTGCTTGAGTTAATCTATTAAGGCGAAAGACAAATCGAGTATATATCATGGTTGTGTGCATTAATTTGTGGTGAATGAGAATTGATATGTAAATTAGATACACCCCTCAAACTCTAACAGATTACTAGGGCTGTGCTAGGTGTTAAGTGTGGGTAGCACAGTTTCAACTTGTTTTATGTTAAACATTTTCTGCAAATGTAAATTTAATTTCAAAGTTATCTCTGTTTAAGAATAACAGGCTGTTTGTTACATTGTTGAATGGTGTTTTATTATGGCATTATGCAGAGCTTACTCTTGTTTTTTGGTTCATATATATATTAGATTTGGGATTTCTGTGTATAACTTTAGGTAGTTGGAAAGGTGATTCTTTAAAATTCTCTAATTTTTCAGGGTTGCTTAAATAATACATTTAAAAACATAATTTGTCATAAATGTTTCTGACCAGCCATCACACACCAGCAAGCTTTCTACTGAGTGCGCAAGTATTAAATGAAAAGCTTTAATTATATAATATAGGGCCTGAATTTCCTTTCTTCTACACCAGTATTATGCTAGTGTAACTGATATATAAACAGTGATAACTGTTCTGGATATTCAGGTCCATAGTGTGCATAAGCTCATATATATGAAAGACATTCTCTCTGTTCTGAAAAATGACTAAAGAAATTAGCCTTAAAAATTCAGCAGTTCTTGTCTACAAGGGAACTGCATTAAATAGCATAGTCATACTCCTCTTGATACAATAAAAGACAAGTTTAAGTTCTTGTGGCAAATTACATTAGAGCTGTTTCTCCCAACTATTCTTCAAACAGTGTTTTGAGTTGTGAATGCTTTTAACTTCCAACAGGATTTCCCCACTATCGCAAATGTATAAAACTCACACAGACTGTCAAACTTAAATCTGTAGAATCTCAGCAAAGGGGGTGCTACATTAATGTTGTTTGAAAACTAATTCACTCACCTGAAAATTACTTTTAAGGGTTTACCTGATGCATGTCATTTGCTTCTTCTTTTTCTTTTTCTTTTTTGTAACATGAGGAGCTACTTAACGTGATTTGGCTTGTCTGGTTTTTAATGTTTAAGTTTATATGTACATTTTGTTCCCAAGATACATTGCCTTTTTCAATAGCTAAATTTAAACTGCATCTAGGATTCTCTTGCTCTGGGTAGTGTTTGGTTCGCGGCTTTTTTGCCCACATGTCACTGCTTTGATATGCATCGGACAGCTACTCTATTTCCATTCTGTGAAATGAGTTGTTGGTGTTAATTGAGTGCTTAGTCTGTGGATATCTACCTCATGCAAACCACCAGAACATGTCACCCAGACCTGAGGCAGCCATGGTGATCATAAGTAAGTGGTGTTCCTTGTCACAAGAGGGGAACAATTGCCCTCCTGGATTGTCAGCCAAAAACTTGGAATTCTTTATTTCAGAAATGCCAAGAGGGGAAGTGTCATCAACCAGGGAAAAGAGTCAGAAGGCTCTGCCATGAGTACTGTAGCAAGGTAAATTAATTTAAGCCATACTAGTGATAGGGCCATTTGGAATAATTACATAGTATTTAATACTAATACCTGCATTCACATCCTGTTTAATTACAGTTACAATCTTGGTTGCTTCGTCCTTTTGGCATCTGCTTTCTCACTCAGCTCCTATTTAAAATTATGATACAACGTTCTGAAAATGCCTTTGTGAAATATATTACAATATTGGAAATTATAATGTATTCTAAAACCATGAAGGAGAGCGAGGAGCCGCCCATTATTCTCAGACCGGGGGAGCTTTCTCATAAACACTGAAATGACTCTTGCATAAAGCTAGTAAAAGATTGCATAACAATGTTATGTGCCTGATAGCATCAAAATGAAGCAGATAGTTTAAGTGTTTAAATGATTAACTGAGCTGTGTTTATATTTTTAGTTTACATGAACTTTTTTTAGTAATTCGGAGTTGTACAGTTGAATTGTACCCATTATTAAGGGGATATTAAGCTGTTTTCTGCTGTTCTTTTTCTCAGGTTTTCTTCACTTTTTTCAGCTTCTGTTAGTTTCCCAAAGTTTTTCTCATCCCTCCTTTTGGAAAGGCATTTTGTATCTTATGTTTTTAATGCTTATTTGCTGCGCTGGTTTTTTGGGGTTGTTTTAGTCTGGGATTAAAACCTTGGCAGAGTCAGTCGGTTTTGTTTAATACACACAGCAATTCTCATGCACTCCTACAGTTTATAGATCACAATTGCTTATTGATTTGGTGCTTTGGAGAGCTTAGACATAAGCCTTGGGAAGCTGAAATGAAGAAAGGTGACATGGTAGGAGGGAGAGACGCTAGGAGAGTCTCTTACATAATGGTTTATGTTCAAAAAGAAAATTGGGGTACTGCACTTGCTGATGTATGAAACATGTCCGGAGAACAAAAATAGGCCATAGTAGTCTGCTTGGAAACCTTAAAGATTCGAGATGATAAAGCTGTCTGAAGTAGCGCATAAATTGTAAGGGTAGCTTTATTTGAAACGGGTTTCTAGTAAACTAATCATCTTGAAATAAGAGGAGCAGTCTCATTTTAGTTCAAGTGTTGATGCTGTCGTCTTTATGGTCTTTGAAGCATACTACCACAATACAGCTTTATTGCCATGTTTTTTGTAAATATCGTTGTAAAATAGCTACTGTCAATTAAAGTTCAGAGAGGAAACTGACTTTGGCATAATATTTGACCTGAAACAGAGCGTCCAATTATCCAAATGTCTTGAAGTGTTGACTTGACATAATCACAGTAGAGAAAGGAGGAGAGCAAAAAAGATTACCAATTTCTGATTTGCTTATCCTAAGTTTTAACATATTAGTTGCTGTTCAAGTCACAGCAGGTATCACAGTATCAAATGGTGGAATTGTCAGACCAAGCAGAGTGGAAATTACGGTGGGATTAATCTGATTTCTCCAGGTGCCTTGAAACAGCAGTTTGAGGATTGACAGAATTTGAAATAAGGAGCAAACGTACAGTGTCTGACTTGATTTGTTGTCAACAAGCCATTTCAGCAGAGTTCTGAGGCAAAAAATGATCAATTGAAATTTTCTTGGGGTGTGCAGTGTTTAATTGACTGCAGACTAAATTATTAATTTAGCATGAATTCAGCAATGACCCTTTTGATCCTTAGGGTAAAGGTAGTTTTATGGGCTTAGAACCCTTTTTATACAAAATGTTTACTTTACAAACTAGAGAAGTGATTTGTAATGGTATTTTTTCTTCGTTTTGCTACTTTTGTGAACATTGCAATCAAACTAATACAGTGTTGGATGAAAGGTTGCCTTGTTGCATTAATACTGAATGTTGAATGTATACAGGGATTCCTTTTTTAGAGTATATGTGTCCAGTTTATCCCTTTAAATTGAGGGCATAAACTGAGGAGAACCTGTCTATCTGATACTACCAGATTCTTCAGAACCATCATTAATCTTTTAAAACCGAGGTTGTAATCTTCAAAATTGTGCCCAGATTAGGCTCGCACAAACCTGTTTGCGTGAGAGTATGGGGGGCAATGTCGGCCTATGTTAAGCTCTGGCCGAAGCATGCATACATTTTGAAAGATTTCAGCCTTACCTCTCCAGACTGTTTTATATAATGTTTCTGCAGCATTTGAAAATGTAAAGTGTTGATGGGGTTATGTTTTGGTAGCTCTTGTGGAGTTAGCAGCTAATTTTGATCTAATTTATGTTGGGGTGCCCAGGGCTTTTGCTAGATGCTTCAGTTTATATTTTCATAACTCAAAAGAAATATTTAGTAAAATAAATGAGTGTTAATTTTTAATATGATTGCTGATAGACTCCTCCAGTATTCCTTCCCTCAAAGGTCAGTAAAGTACATATAGCAAAACCATTACACGGAGATGCTAAGTGACTTTATCAAGGCTACACTGCAAGTAAGTGGCAGTCCCAGGATTAGACCTGAATATCTGGCTCCTAGCTCTTTGCTCAGTGTACTCTAGGCCAGTCTGTTTCTAACATGCATATGTGTGAGATCTGATAGATTTCCTCACATTGAAAATCTTCATAATCTTTGCTGAAAACTGAAAGTCATGTTAATAATTGATTTATTTCTTATTTCAGGCTGTCAGTAACATGCCATATCCTTTATTGACTGGAGTCAGAACTTTACCCACCGTAGAAGTGAAATCATCAGAAAGGCCTTCAATCCAAAACAAAGATCCTCCCAAAGATGAAGAAAAGGAAAAGAAAAAAAAGAAACACAAGAAAAGATCTCGGACAAGATCTCGGTCACCTTCCAAATATCATTCGTCGTCTAAGTCCAGGTCTAGATCACATTCAAAAGCAAAGCATTCACTTCCCACTGCCTATAGAACTGTCAGGCACTCAAGGTGGGTTTGGAAGTGGAAAGTATGCTTTACTATTCTATTTGGGCTAGTATTTAATTTGCCTCTGCACCTTTTTCTATACACATTAGAAAGAAAATCCGCTTTGTATAATGTAGATAAGAGAACTGGAAAACTTTTGAGTCAATATATAATCTTTATATTTGATAATGTTATGAAAGATTTCATTTAAGTATTTCCAAGATAGTTTCTAAGCACAATTTTAGAGTGAATCTACTAAATGATTCTAACTGGTCCATTAAACACTTGTTGATGGTCTGTGGTTGTGTTAAGTCATAGGGCGATGACTCCCTCTATTTCCAACTATTTCTACAGGTGTTTTTATTCATTTCAAAGAGGAGCCTGGACACCTGTAAAATAGCTGGGAACAAAGGTGGGGAGCCAATGGGGAGGGGGGTCTGCAGCTACATCAGCAGAGGAAGAAGTATGAGCTGTCTTCCGTGACCAGGGCCACCAGCAGGACAAACTGCAAGCAAGAGTGTCAGGAGCTACCAATGGCTCTGCAGCTAGTACTGGGATAGAGAAGTAGAGCAGAAGGGAATAAAGAAACAAGGTGTCATGTCCAGATAAGCAGTGGAAAAGAGAGGAACAGGTGGTTGAGCAACACACTCAGGAGAGCAGAGAACGAAACTAAGCAGTTGGGCAGGGGATCAGAGAGAGAGAGAGAAACAGATTAGACTGGAAAGGGAGCCAAAAAAACTGTGTAACTAACTTGGTTAAAAAAGCCCATTACAGTCAGTTAAAAATACAGAACTACATTCCTGTTATATTACCACATAAGCAAATATTGCAGTCAACACAGGAAAGTTGCGTGATTGCAAATGGGAGAGGCGTGTCCATGAGACACTTGAGATGTGGTCCACACTGTGAAAAAGTCCCCAAACCCTTTTAGTACCTTAGAGTTCTTTGGGTGATTTTCCACGCAGATTCCACTCTTAGTGCTCATGTGTCCTATGCACTTCATCGGAGTCTCTTGGCTAGCTGTTTACCTTGGGGGATGCTTGCATCCTAGGTGCCCTGATGCCATGCCCTCTCAACTCACTCGTCTGAGGGCATAAAGGGCAGAGCAGGCCCAACAACCTCTCAGGCCCTTCTTTACTGCCTCTGGCTGTGAGGTGGAACTCCTGGCATCATTGCTCACTCTGCAGTTCACCTTAGATTTAGGATAGTGTTAGTGTAGTTAAGTTTCCGTTGCTTGTTGACATGTATATAAAACCCTGAATTTGATCCTCTTTCAGTCACTTGAGTTTCATTTTGTTGAGGACAGTCCCCCTGCACTCTATATAGCGGTGCTATGACCACGGCAGAGGCTAAATCACTAGGGTATTAAACATGTCTGTCAGACATGTCCCCCATCTAACTCTGCTGGGCCAGTCAACAGTGGACATTCTTGGTGCCTGATGTGCCTTGGGGAAGGACACATTCTGCAGCATTGTTCCATGTATCATTTCTTCTCCAGGTGTATCCAGAGAGTGAGGGAGTTGAAAATAAAACTTCTCCTTGTGGAGAAGTCAGTGCAGATCTTCTCAGACTCTGAGAAGTCTTGGGAGAAGCCTCAATCTGTGGATTGGTCAGTGTCCTGGTGAGCCATGACTCCATTCTGAACTCACAGGCCACTTCTTAGCCCTTATTCATCCCCCACTACATCAGCAATGACATCCAGTAGAGGCAAGAAGTGACCAGCCAAAGTACAGGTTGCCTTTCTCAGGACCTAGCAGGAGGCACATGAGTCGTCATGACTTGGCCCCAGGCTCAGTCAAGAGTCATAAGTAAGAGAATACCTTTGCCACTAGGTCAGTAGTGACATCTATGGCAGCTCACGTGAGACTGTTGAAAGCTAAAGATTGCACTGCCTCCAGTACTGGCGCCTCAGCACAGACTTCGGTACCCAGTATGTCCTCATTGACTCCCACATTCTTGGTGGTGACTGTATCCAGTACATCAGTACAGACTATCTCCTTGGGACCTGAGGCATTAGTATCAACTTATTTGGCACTGAAGCAATATAAGCTGCCAAGTGATGTGTTGGTTGGCTCAGTTCTGGAGTTCCAGAAAGATTTGGGGAGGTTATTACAAACCTGCCTACTGTAGAGTTTCCACACCTGGCCAGTGAAGTGTTCTGTATTCTAACCCGCTGGTTCATAGGCACTCCTGATAGGACTGCCCCTTTCTTAGAGGAGATATGTTCCTTCTCCTCCTTCCATGAACATAGCAATGAAATATCCCGTACCTATCCTTCATCTCCTCCCAAGTAGCTCAATGGGAATCTAAACTGGGAGGAATGGTAGATACGCTGGAGGGGAGGGATAGGATACAGAGGGACTTAGACAAATTGGAGGATTGGGCCAAAAGAAATCTGATGAGGTTCAATAAGGATAAGTGCAGGGTCCTGCACTTAGGACGGAAGAACCCAATGCACAGCTACAGACTAGGGACCGAATGGCTAGGCAGCAGTTCTGCGGAAAAGGACCTAGGGGTGACAGTGGACGAGAAGCTGGATATGAGTCAGCAGTGTGCCCTTGTTGCCAAGAAGGCCAATGGCATTTTGGGATGTATAAGTAGGGGCATAGCGAGCAGATGGAGGGACGTGATCGTCCCCCTCTATTCGACATTGGTGAGGCCTCATCTGGAGTACTGTGTCCAGTTTTGGGCCCCACACTACAAGAAGGATGTGGATAAATTGGAGAGAGTCCAGCGAAGGGCAACAAAAATGATTAGGGGTCTGGAACACGTAACTTATGAGGAGAGGCTGAGGGAACTGGGATTGTTTAGTCTGCAGAAGAGAAGAATGAGGGGGGATTTGATAGCTGCTTTCAACTACCTGAGAGGTGGTTCCAGAGAGGATGGTTCTAGACTATTCTCAGTGGTAGAAGAGGACAGGACAAGGAGTAATGGTCTCAAGTTGCAGTGGGGGGAGGTTTAGGTTGGATATTAGGAAAAACTTTTTCACTAGGAGGGTGGTGAAACACTGGAATGCGTTACCTAGGGAGGTGGTAGAATCTCCTTCCTTAGAAGTTTTTAAGGTCAGGCTTGACAAAGCCCTGGCTGAGATGATTTAATTGGGATTGGTCCTGCTTTGAGCAGGGGGTTGGACTAGATGACCTCCTGAGGTCCCTTCCAACCCTGATATTCTATGATTCTATGAATCAGGGAGAGAATCCAGAAAACAATAAGGGGAGCTAGGAAGATCACTCCACTTAGCATCCTTCACTGTGCCACTATCCCCTGCTTTCTGGGGTTTTCAACCCTACTATAGAAAACTAGTGTCTTCCACTGTGTTTAGAGAAAGGTCGTCTCACTGAAGAAGCAAATTTAGCCTCCATACGCAACTCCATCCATGGCTGCTGCAGAGTCAAGAGGAGAGTGGAAAAAACCAGCAATCTCCTGAGCAGAATCATCATTATACAAGAGAAGGAGCATAAATGCTTTGCTTTGATGATCTCTGATGTGCAACTCCAGAGAGATTGGCCATGCCATTCGATCTGTTGGAACCCACCAAATCAGTTTGGCCCACAGCAAAGATGGATGCTGCTATCTCAAAAAAGCACAGAGAAGATGTTGGATTCCTGCTAAGGGGTTTGAATACTTGTACCAAATATCCTATATCTGGCTCTCTGCAGGTAGAAGCTTACAGGAGAGGATAAAAGAACTAGTCTACAGCTCGTGAGACAGACCCCAAAAAACTAGAATTTTCTGGTCAAAAGGTGTATTTGTCTGCGAACCTATAAAGGAGGGAAGCAGACTGCCATGTGATACCCTCAAAATATGATTTTTTGAATTGGTACAAACTATCCAATGTGGTGGATAAATTATCCAATGAGCACCAACTGAAATCTCTTATGACTGAGGGCTGCCTAACTGCCAGAACATCTCTGCAGACTGTGCTGGATGTGTCTGTCACTCATCTGAACAAAGGCCACTGCAGCTGCTATGAGGAGATTGTCAGGGCTCAAGTTGTCAAGACCTCCTCATTTGAGGGCAACAGTCCCTTTAACAGTGGCACTGATGAGGCGCTCAGATTTCAGGGCAGCTTTGTGCAACGTGGGGTTCTGTCTCTGCTCCAAAAAGAAAGCTGCCAAGACAAGCCATGCTTCAGGCAGCGTTCTTTGATACATTTATCACTAGGATCCTCACAGCCTCAAAGGAAGAGGCAGATATTAAAGTGGAGGCAACCCTCTGCTCTCCTCAGCTGCTCCACAGTTGGCGGCTTCAAATAGGCCGAAGAGTCAATGCTATTGTTAGGAGCCTGCTTGGACCAGCATGGGATCTGTTTTCTTTTTTTAACCTCTCACAAGAAACTCCCTTACCTTCCCCCCCACCCCCACAAGAAGCAAGAGGTAAACTGCCTCTTACAACTGGGAACAATGTAAGAGGATCCCCTTGGAGTTCAATGTGTGAAAATTCAATTTAGATTATTGATGAGATGTCAGATAATCCAGGCCCAATCAATTTATTAATCAAAGTTTATTAGTCAAAGGTTAATCAGCATGATGAAGAAAAGCAAATACAATACTGATCTGGGGAAGCAGTCCTGCTGCCTGGTCTATTCCAACTAGTGTTCAGAAATTTATCCTTGTATATAACATATATGTCTACGAAAGAGACAGAATTCCATTCTCATGCTCTGTTGAGCCATGGAATTCCCTTCATGGCCTGTTAATTTACATAATATATAAGCTAAAGACAGTATCACAGAAGGGATCTCTAACAATAGGTATTCCCTTTCTTGGTTTTCTGGACATCTGGACACAATTTTCTAAGTGTCAACAGGTCAAAGCAAGAGGACGCACAATCTGTCAGTCAACAACAACACTAAGATTTAGATGCAAAGCATTGTGGGACTTTGCTTAATCTATAAAGGCCTCTGGGAGTCTGATTCATCTGCTAACAAGGAGCAATGGCTTTTATTCCCACTACCTCTTACTCTCAAAGAAGAACAAGGCTTCTGAAGGCTCATCCTCAATCCTCAACATCTCAACACCTTC